TTGGATATCTATATATGAAAACAAGTAGTGGTTTCTTCACTGTTAAAAAAAGGATAAAATAGCTAGTAATACCTGTGATCATGCAAAGATTAACAAAAAATTTTAAGGAAAACTTAATTGACTCTTCAAGTTTATCTTAGCTAATCACTTTCTACCTTAAAAGTAAGTCAAACAAATGTAGACGTGTATGAATTTACGTACAGAGGCTATCTTCCTGAAAACAGCAATCAATCAATAATGGAAATGATGATGAGGAAACATTCCAACTTATTTTGACATTTCTAAAAGAAAGTGTCGACAAAACAAAGTATTTGGCAATAGATATCACTCCAACATGGAGAATACAATGTCAAGTTGTGTTTTGAGACCTGGGAAAAACAGGTTTATGTTCTACAATGACAAAGCTATTCTCACTGGAGGAAGTAAAAACATGAAGTCATTAAATCATCATAATACCTGAAGTGATTATAACACCTTAAAATCAAGGTAAGCATAAACACAGAGTATTTAGCTAACATACATTATGATGAATAAAAAAACCTGATTAGGCAGAAATTGAGTTGTTGAAAATATACTTAATAAAAATCACCTCTTAAGAAATTTAATTTCAAGTCCAAGATGAGGGAAATGCATCCCCATCAGATATAAATGTACAGTCTTTTAGACAAAGAATAACTAAGAACACAGTTTCATTTTGTTTCTTGGAAGTCCACTCTCGAAAGTTGAGAAAGGCCTCAAATGCTGACTATTTAAAACTATGATCTGTACTGTAGAACAAACTTATGGCTACCAAAGGGAAGAGAAAAAGGGGAGGAACAAATAAGGAATATGGAATTAACACATACAAACTACTACACATAAAATAGATAAGCAACAAGGATTTATTATAAAACGATGAACGATTTTCAAGCATAACAAAAAATACAAAGAATAATGGTCATTTTCTTTTGTGTCTGATTTTTAAAGTGAAACTGATGTTTTTTAAAGTTCAAACTTTCATGGAAGAATTTGAAAAATTCTGCAAGGGAACATCACAAGCAAATATGTAAGAGACACACATTTTCAAACAAATTAACAAGTCTAGTCACCTTGATGAACTTTGACAAACATATTGATAAGATAATGACATAAATTTACTTCCTAATTTCCTTATCTGAGAGGAGTTACTGTTAATGAAATATTCCATAAATTCTACCCAGAAAGTACGTCACTTGTTGTATATATGTTTCTCTCCCTAGGGAAAGACTTCCTTCTTGGAACAGAATAACTTCTACATAAATGCAAATATGTACACATACAAATACTGAACTGAGGTGCTCACTGTATCTCAATGGAAAAAATAAAATTCTTACTGAATACTTTCCACTACCCCTCTTATCCCTTTCATACCATTTCTTTATGGTTTGTTACTTCTCAACATCCCTCAACTTTTCTCTAAAGTGCCTTATTTCAAGCAAGTCCACCTGTTTGCTATCATGTAACCAACTACTTACAAATCCTTAGAATTTGTAAAGGTTACTCTTTGACACAGATATTGACTGTCAAAAAGTACTCATTTTCATTTGTAAAGGTAGTTCTGATTTCACACTAAAAACATTATGGGGCTGCCATTTTAGGGCCATATCATCTTTGTATCTTCTCTAAGGCCTTGGAAGGAGCTCACTCAAATTATTTTAAGTTTAGTTAACACTCATTACCTCACCTAGTTAGAAATTTTTTTTTCCTGTCATGAGAGCTTTTAAGATATACTCTCTTAGCAGCTTTCAAATATAAAATACATGTTTTTAACTATAGTTATCATGCTGTACATGACATCCCCCAAATTTATTTGTCTTGTAACTGCAAGTTTGTACTTTTTCGACCACCTTCTAGGATAGTTTTTAAACTCTTTAGAGCTGTGGCCTCTTACTTTTGAACACACTGCCCCATCAGAAAAAAAAATTTGAGCATACATCCCCTATATATGTAGTTTATATATATGTATATCTATTTATCTATATAGACGTATAGATGTTGACTCCATGGAATTCAGTTGTGTACACATTTTCCTTGATTTACGATGGGGTTACATCCCGATAAACCACTGAAGGTTGCAAGTATCATAAATTGAAAATTTATTTAATATACCTAACCTACTGAAATATCAGAGCTCAGCCTAGCTTACCTTTAACACACTCAGAACATGTACATTAGCCTACATCATCTAATACAAAGCTTATTTTATAAGAAACTGTTGAACATCATATATTTTACTGAATACTGTACTGAAAGTGAAAAACATAATGGCTATATGGATGCAGAATGGCCGTAGGTTATCAGTTGTTCACCCACTTGATCGCACAGTTGACTGGGAGTTGTGGACTGTTGCCGCTGCCTAGCATCCTGGGAGCAATGTCCCACATATCAATGGCCCAGGAAAAGATCAAACACTTTTACATTTATGAGGTGGTGTGAGGAATGACGTATCTTATGAGAATTGAACTTGCTAGGACACACATTTGGCTAGAACTGTATTCTTACTCTACAAAAGTAGGTCATTAGAGAGAAAATATATAGATAAATGGATGATGAAGGTCACAGGTCTATATATATAATGCAATACTCTAATATATATTTATATGAAGACACATTCTTCTGTCTTCTCACCTGTCTAGACATACTTGTCAATGATAAAATTAAATTCTCAAAAATTTAGAATCTACCTTTGCGTATTATTGTAAAAACCTCCATTATATGCATCTAGTACAATGTTTAAAATGATTAAGTAACATACTATTATGTAAAACAGTATGCAAAAACCTTGACTATTCACTCTGATAACTCTGGGAATAATAATCAGTGTTTCACCAGATTTTATTCAATGCTAAGGAATCAACAGTTACATTTTTCCTGTTTCTTCACTTCTACATTGGTGTGCCTACAACTTTTTAATCACAACTAATTTTGCAGTCATAGGTATTCTAACTGCATTTTGGTGAAAACCTTAGATGGGAGGAAACTAACACTAACATGTGTTGAGTGTTTAAGCGCAGATACTGCTACATATTTTACGGACATTATATTACTTAATTTTCACAATAATCCTTAAATGGTGATAATTATTATCCCCATTTTATAGATTAAAGCTTAGGGTATTTAAGGTCAAGGTCACACAGCCAAGATTCAAATCCAGGTCAGTCTGGCTTCAAAGCCTATGCTCCCTCCACTACACTGAACAAAGGGTTATAATAACTGAGAGTCCAAGAGTATCCAGATAAAATGCACGGTCTACAAATCAATCTACAAGCCAAAGATAACTCCACTTCATTCTGAAAGTTGAATAAAGTATTACAAATAATAATTAAAAGTAGTTAAAGCCAAGGCTGTGGAAAAGATTACAGTAAAACTACTCTCCAATTCTCTTTTAAAATGGTTTAAAATTGCTCTTCCTCTATCCTGTCTTTATCCTATAGTCCAAACACAAAGCTTAAGAGGGTAGGGTTGACTCCACAGATTTCAGTTGTCTGAAAGCCTGTATTATTACAGAAGCATTGCCTAACCCTCCCTCCCGAGAAATCTCTGCCACGAAACACAGCACAATTCCAAAAAACTGTGTAATAATAAATCAAAAGCAACTAAACTAAACTTCTTCATAGAAAATCTCTCCTTAAAGATCAATTTTATCATGGGTATGATACTACAATAAATAATATTATACTAAAGTATAATTCAAAAATACAGTTCATTTAATTATCAAACTCGAAATCAGATTTATTAACCATCTCAGACTCCCAAGAGTTGCTTCACAGTCAGATATGGAGGGAAATGGACAACCTTCCTAATGACACCAACTGCAGAGATAGATTTAACTATGCAGGAAAAAAGGGACACTTAGGGGCTTGCACTTCAATCTTTCCATTCATAAGAAAACTTCTCCTTTGCTAAGTCTTAGGCTTGAAACTGACTTCTGAGTATATCGGTTTTAGTTCCTAGTCAAGTAAGTATTATCACTAATCATTTTATAGAAAAGGTAACAGAATTCTAGACTTTGAATAAAGAGTTGGAGGAACTGGGATCATCCAGTGTCTTTTAAGAATTATTTTTTTCAAATACACGAACATTGTTTTCCAATAGATTCAAGAGAGCTAACATTTACTGGGCATCTATGAAGAATCAAACACATATGTTATCTTTCACTCTTACATGGATCACATTTTACAGAAACTAAGATCTAGGATCTCGCCCAAGGTCACAACTACAGAAAGCGGCAGTGCAGAATTAAATCCAGGTCTGTACACACAGAAAGGTCCAGGGAGAGTTTAGTTAGTAGTAATTTCATAAATCAGGAAAGACTAAAACAAACTAGACCCAGGGGACGAGGAATGACACTGACTCAGAAACTCGGTAACGCATCTGCAGGCCTGTCAGCTGGAGCCGAAGGAAGTGTGACCTTTACTCCAAACCCTCCGGTGCGGTAAGACAGCTCTGCTCTGCATGGGTCAATATACAACTACTCACGGAGGGAAAGAGGAGAGAATGAGGTTTCGTGGTGGCCCAGGCCCTTTCGTGGTCGCAAAAATGGAGAAGGGTCAAACCCTGAGGCCCGGTCCGGGTCTGAGTGGTGCCTAAGGCATGGGGCGCAACAAAGTCGCAAAGGGGGCTGACTTGAAAATTCCGAGTTTATGATAGATGTTGGAAAAGAAAAAGCGAAAAGCAGGGAGGATGGGAAGGTACAAGGATTCACTTGAAGGTAAGGGGTTGGGGCTGTGGGTGATGTCTCCAGCGGTAGAGTTGTCAGTGGGCCTCTAAAGGTCTGCTTTAGAGGGACAGGGAGGGAAGGTCTCGGTGGGAGCCATTCTGGGTTCATTACCTGCCGGGTGGTTGTACAACGGCCTCAACTTCTCAGGCAGCAGGAGCTCCACTCTGTCGAGGACCCGGTGGTAGGTGGCCCGCAGGCCCCGGGCGCCGGCGGCTGACATTTCTGCCGCGTGACCGTGGGCAGCCGGGTGGGAGAGTGGCCGCGTGCTCGTCCCTGGCTGATAATGAAGGGCAACTCCTCACCCCCCTCGGACACAACGCCTCACGTCCTCCTCTCCCCCAGGGTGCCCTTCCTGTGGCTCAGGCTGCACCCCCGTAAACCACCCCCGGGCCCGAGCCCAGAGAAGGTTGAGGGGGCGGAGACTCTGCGTTGGCCCGCCCCGGGCCCGCCTCCTGATCTCCCGCTGCCGAGATGGAGGAGGAGTCATGGAAACAGGTGCCAAAAGGATTGCCTCACCAAATCTACCCAGCGTCCTCTCGGCAGTGCGCTTGCGCAACCGGAGCTGCCCACGGTGATTGGCCCGCCCAGGGGCGCGGGCGGGGTCCAGCGCAAGCCTCCAATTTCTCTTTCCTGCCCCGGAGGCCATGTTGAAGAAGGGAAAGTGAAGCGGCACCGGCTCTAATTCCATTTCACTTTGATTAAGGAGGCCCCTAGTTAAAATGGGCTTTTTGGGCCTTCCGTGCCCCGACTAAAGATGACGTCGCATAACTATCTTGCTTCCTTTGGAATGAGACTCGTGAGCCAGAGACTTCCGATCTTAGCAGCTTCTTTTTCTATTCCTCATTTATCCATAGAATATTAAGGATTTGGCTAGACTGGTCCGAACTCACTTTTCCAGGGTAAGGGCAGCCGTGGCGCACAGCTGCTTCAGGCCCCAGGGTGGTCGTCATCTCGCGAGATAGGCTTGGAAGGGAGGGTGTCGAGAACGAGGAGAGGGAGGAGTCGAGGCCACCTCCGCCTCCTCCTGTTGGAGGGGGGCCGAGGGAGGGGACTGTTGCTGATATCTGGATGTTCTGGGTAGTCTGAGGAGGAGAGTATGAAGCGAGCTCCGGCCCGGGTGCGGCCGGGCTTCGGGGGCGAAGGCGCTGCCGCCGCCAGCGCCGCCGCCATCTAACTGGCTGAGCCTGCGAGGCCCAGCGCGCGGATGGTGCCGGTGCGGCTCGGGTGTTGATTTCGCGTGTCCCCCTTCCTCCCCTTCCCCCTACCCGCCCGTCCGGTCCCGTCCCGTTCCCTCCCCCCCGGTCCCGTCCGTCCGGCCCGCCGT